ATTCTGGTGATGAAAGTGAAGAACTCTAAGTAGTTTATAATAAAAAGGTAATACTGGTCATGGTGCATATTGTGTGTGTACACACGTGTGAAATCTAAGGAACTCAAGTGTTAGGTGGTGTTGCTGTTTAGTTTTTTCCAGTTTATAAAACTTGAATCTTCAAATTCAAAGTCCCTTCACCAAAGAATCATTTTTCTTTGCATCTCCAGTTTCTGACAACTGGCTGGTGCAACGCTGCATGTTAGGAGTTACTCTGTAAATAGTTGGTGACCTGATTCTGTTTGAAACTGTTTTCTGTCTTATAAATTCATTGCCTACTGCAGAGGGACAATAAGCTAAAAATTAAATGTTTCCTTGTAGCCTGGAAATATTCAGCAATGTCTAGTTGATTACAGTGAAAGTCTGTTAGAAAAGATTTGAACGATCTCATGCAATTCTTTGAAATATGACTTACCATCTTAATAACATCATATAAATAAAACTAAGCAGAGATGTTAGATGTATTTTCTCCATTATCATGTAAAAGATCAAGTAGAAATCACAGAGAAATATATTTTAATGCTCCCTGAGGGTCTATTCCCAGGTATTTGTATTGTGGGTTAGGCTGTCTACTGGGTTTATTAAGGCCATTTTAATTAGGAGGTATGAAATTTAGTTATAAGAATTGGTAATGCTGGAATCAATTTTTAAGAAGACAACCAACCAACCAATCAACCAACCAGTCAACATGTAAACACAAAAGAGTGAGATAATAGGCCTTCCCATTGGCCACTGAAAAGCGAGACTCTGCTAAGAGTAGCTTACCTCAATTGTGTACTTATTTTGTGCTGGATTATTATTATTTCATTTAATAATCCTCCCATGTGGGAGCCTCTGAAACAAAGTACTGTGTATTATTTATTTCTGTTTGGCTATTGAAAAAGTAAGGCTTAGAGAAGTTAAATAACTTGTCCAGAATGATACATAGTGGCAGAGAATTGATTCCGGTATGCAGTAGAACTCTCTGCATGGATAAGAAAGGTTCTATATCTGCACCATCCAGTTCCGTAGCCACTGGCCCCATAGGGCTGTTGAGCACTTGGACTATGTCTACCAACTAAAGAACAGAATTTTTAGTTTTACTTAATTAAATTAGAACAGCCCCATGGAACAAGTGGCTATTGTATTGGACAGCACAGTTCTAGAATCTTCCTAAAATACTCTTCATCACTACACCATACCTCTCTGATTCAACCCTCCAAAGCACATAAGGAGAAGAAAGAGTAAGGAAGTATTACCATTGTAAATTACACAGAGCTAGAATATTAAAAGCAGTTTGATCTCTGTCCCGTGGAAACCTAAAAGACTTGCTCTCTCATACCTAGTTAAGGAGCAGTCATATAGCAGTAGATTTTGCCTAAGATCCTTAACTGTAATGTGTTTTTTTCTGGTAAGTGATCCTCATTCATGGTGTGCCGTCATTTCCCCTTCATACCATTGTGCTCCCTGATGCCTTAGGGTGAAGGTAAGCGAGAGTGTCTATTCCTTTGTGAGTGGTTTGGCCACCACTCTGAATGCCTCCTAATCCTGGCTTTGTAACCAGCTGCCTATGTGTCCTTTGTTGATCATCTCGGCCACTTAGTGCCTCAAATTTTCTCGTCTGCAAAATAAGGGAGTTGAATTAAATGATTGCATAGGTTTCTTCTAGATATAAAAATTATGTATATAATTGTTCTAATGCCTAAGGTCCTATACTTGTATGGATATGCAGTAAATGATTTTTATAGTAAATTCTTGAGTTGTTGAAATGTACATGCCAAGTCCCAAATTTCTTAAAAACAAAACAAGAAATGCTAGAAAGCTGTGCAGCTCTTCAAGTCTGTCGAGAGCTGTGTTCCTCTTTCCTGCTCCTTTTGTGAATGGATGCTTTGCTTTTCCACAGGATACAAATGAGAAGCCTGCACTTCTGGTCCTGCATTTGGAGCAGAAGGGATTGCTGTGCCCACAATGAATTAATTTTCAGTGAATTAATTGTTGCGTTGAAATAATATGTTTATTTAATATGTGATGGCAGGTGAAGCCTTGAGAACAAATAACAAAGTTTGAAATTTTTGTAGAAGCCTAAGTTGTTGTTTTGTTAATGTGTATGTATATAAACGATTCGACATTCTACCTTTATGCTCATTTTGAAAAGAACACATTCCATTAAGTTCTAGTACATTTAAAATATTTTATCAAAGAAATGCAGTTTACACGTTTGAAGTAAAGTATCTATTGTGTAAATCAGTGTTTGGAACCTGTAAGTTGCTCACATGCTGATTGGTGTAAAGTATCTGTCTCTTGCCCACCAGTGGTCTTCAGCCTGCGAAATGTGTTAGGATCATCTGTGGGGCTTTTTAAAAATATGATGTTCAGGTCTCACCTCCGACTTAGTAAATCAGTCTTAGGGGGTGAGGGCCTAAACATAGATGCTGAAATGCTCCCCAGGTTATCCTGATTCATGCCAGAGGTTGAAGAACCAACACCCCGAATATTCTTCACAAGAAAAGAGATTGGCTCTTTATTAATTGGGCTTATACCAACATCAACGCTGGCCTATAAGAATGTAGTGATGATAGCATTGTAAAATTCTGTTGTTCTTTCAAAATTTAACATTGATTAGCATTTATGTTTGATGATGGCAGTTCACTGAAAAAATATTCAGCTAACTCATTTTCTAGTTATTCCTGAAAATTTAAGATAAAGTATAAGAAATGTGATAAAATATAAGAACCCTAGGAAAGAAGTACTTGAATTATTTACTTCACTTTATCTTGTCCTTGGAAGAATTTGTGCCTTATGAAAATTAGATGTTTAAATATCCTCTAATCCTTAGATTACTAATACTCTTATAATCATTTATCAGTATTTTGACAACATAAAACTTCATTATTAAAATGTTTTAAATCTTCAAATTGTTATTCATCACAGTCACCATTATTTGTTTTTGCTTATGTTATTAATCTCCTAGATTTTAAATGGTTTCCAATTCTCATTTATATAAGCAACATATATAGTTATACATTGCTCAGTACATGTTTATGTTAATAATCTTAGATGTAAGTTGAGTATATTATTCTGGATTTTCCAAGTGATTGTACCAGTGATATTCATAGTATACAATACATCCTTTTTAGATAATATATATTTTGACAATTATCCTGAAAGAACATTTTTTAGGGCTCATATAAGTATGGTATTGGAAGTACGCTGGGCTGGAAAGATTTAGGTAGAGATATGTAGTAGTCAAGGTACTGCTAATTTCTGAAACTGATAAATCTCAATCCCATGTGAGAGTTCTTGTGAGTATAGTTGACGTGTTTTTATTCAATGACCTTCCATGTGTGTATTTGACCACTTCCTTCATCTAAGTCCTTAGTCCTCTCCATTCAGCTAGTGGGTAGAGAAAGAAAGAATGGAAAAGGCATACCTGCTGCTAGCCACTTTAGCCTGGAGGAGACACAGTTCATTCCATCAGAAGACCTCAGCCATCTTTGAGAGGTGCTGGGAAATGTAGCCTCGCTATAGTCCCAGGAGGAAAAGGAAAAGGGTTTTGGTGAACACAGCAGTCTCAGGACAGCCCCATTTCTGCAGTGAATGAACTCTGTGACTCCTGGCAAGGCACTTACTCTCCTTGCCTCAGTTCCTTTACTTTAAAAGTAAAAGATCCGGGCCGGTTGAGTGGCGCGATGGTTAAGAACTGGCTTGGGATGCCAGAGGGCCCCGGTTCGGATTCCACATATGAGGGCCAGTGACACTGCCCTCCACAGCTAAGATGCTGAACAACAGCGTGAGTGGCCAGCAGCCGCAGTGAGCGGCCATCCAGAAGCTGGTGACTGATCTGCCTCGCCCGGGAAGAGTGCAATGATGGTGCCAACTTGGGCCAGTGAAGCAACGTCCTCCACAACTAGACTGAAGAACAAAATGACAGCAACTTGTCTGTTCCCCTTCCCCCAATTCCCCAGCACTGTTCCCATCCCCCCAATTCCCCAATAAAAATCTTTAAAAAAAAAAAAAGTAAAAGATCCAAGGACTTTTTTTAAATAAGATTATTAGATATTTATATTAAAAAAATTCTCATGAGATATAGTGAAGCTTGATTCAACAAAGCATTTGTGAGACTCATAATATCCTTAAAAGTGAATCTGATGAGAAATGAGAACCAAGTTATGGCATGGTCTGTGGTTTTGTTGTTAATTGCATAACCAAGGGATGTTGATTACTTAAATTCAGGTGATCTTGGAAAGGGATCTTGGGGGGCGGGGGAGGGATGGATGTATGATTTTATTGTTAGTGCTCATCTTTTTACTCTTTTACCATTTTCATCAATAATCATATGAAAACATAGCACTCATACTCTACAAATTATAATTTGGAAATTTCAAATAATTTTTAGGTACATGGATTAGGCCATCCAATTTCTTTAACCTGTACTATAAGTTATAGTTTCCCTGGGCTTTTGACAACTGGCTCAGGAATCAAATGAATTATTTATAACACTGCTTTTATGACAATATGTTTCATACTTTAAATATCTTATAAATGAACTAGGAACATAACCCATTTTTAAGTAAAAGATGACTTGGATTTATATCTCCAAAATAGATTAATTGCCTTCCTGCCTTCAAGAATGGTCTCTTACACCCTTGAATATAATGTTAGGTGATATGGCTATTAATATGAACATGGCTTGGCTCTTTTTCAGCAGAGATATTGTGTTGACCAGAAAAGATACATCAAAAACAGGCACTACAAAGAATATGTGTAGTGATTATCAGTTGTCACATAATGTTTGTAAGACAAACATCTGATTTGAGCCATCATTGATTTTGAAAGACAAAAATGATGAATGATTATACATTAATATTGACTAGGAGTATTGATTACTTTCATTACATTTGAAGGCTTTAAACGCACTTGATAGGAAATATCTCTTTAATGTAATAGAGTTATTTCTAAATGTGTGTTCTCTTTCTTTTCAGGACTTCCAATAGTAGTCAGACATTATCATCCTGCCATACTATGGAGCCATGTTCATCAGATGAATTTTTCCATGCCCTTAATCATGCTGAGCAAACATTTAAAAAGATGGAAAACTATTTGAGACATAAACAGTTATGTGATGTAATTCTAGTTGCTGGTGATCGCAGAATTCCAGCTCATAGGTAATTGTTTTCTAAATTTCTATATTTATGAAATATTTCCTTGATAATTTAATTATGTATACTGAGGTAACTCATTCTAATTGACCATTAGGATGGAATGTTTTGGGGAAGGGTTATATTTCATAGAATTTCTGCAGAGAAAACAGTGTATGTACAATTATTACACATAAAATAACCCCCAAAGGGTCACTTTCCCTTTGTAGAAGCACAAAAACAAAACATACGAGCCTCAGATCAGTTGGTATTGTTGAGCATATAGATTTCAGGCACTATAAGCGTCATTCACCCTACCTAGTTCTATGTATTAAATAAACTCAATGGAAATTAGAGCTGTATTTAGAAGCAAAAAACCTGGTGGAATGGAGTCGCAAACACTGTTAAAAATTTTTAAATAACCACAGCTATCCCAACTTTTGTTTGCTGACCTCCAAGAAATATGAAAAGTAGTGCTGGGTAACAAAAGCCTTTTTAACACAAATGAAGTATTATTTCTTGATGTAAAGAAAAGGAAAAAGCTATTTAATAAAAAACAAGTCATTAGTTTTCATCTGATAATTCCATATTCAGTTGTTCAGTGTTAATCACCATTATGATCCCAAAGGTTTTTTTATGCCTGTCAGAATTAATTAACACTCTATCCCAAAGGTTTTGTTAAATCCTCCAAAGTGAAAGTGAAATCAGGAAGGATAGCCTTGGACTTACCGTTTTCAGTGACTCAGTCAGCGTGAGAGGCTCCTACGTACTGTGACAAAAAGTCCATGTTATGAACATCAGTTTATTAGAAAAGCTATTTCAACCTGAATTTCATACAGGCATTTCAAATTCTCTTTTGCCAAAACAAAACTCATTACCTTACCTGTCACGCTTCTGTAAGCCATCACCATGTCACTTAGATTACCAATGCAGGAAACAACTACCTAGACTCCGGTCTTTGATTATTTTCCATTACATTCTATTTTCTATACACCTATCCGAGTGATCCATTAAAATATTAATAGAAATCAGATGCGGCCGCTCCTCTGATCAAACTTTTCAGTGACTCCTCATGTCACTGAGTGTGAAATCCCGAGTCCTCACCCTGGCCTGTGTGATCCCCCTGCCATCGCTTGCTTACAGCTCTGTCCTACTGTCCTTCCTGCTCACTCTGCCTGAGCCCCACAGACCCTTGTTGTTCTTTTTATGTGCCAGGCATGCTGCTCTTGCCTTTGGAGTTTTGTACTGGCTGCACTTCTGCTCGAATGCTATTCCCAGATACTTGTATGACAAATTCCTTCACCTTCAGTTCTTTCCCCGGTCGTCCCCTTCCAATGAGACCATCTGTTTAAACCCATCCTCTACCCCCATTTGCCTTTACTCTACTTTTTTTCTCCAGGACACTTATCACTTTTAAATGTACTATAGAATTTATTTCTGCTATGTGTTCTCTCCCTTCCCTCTAGAATGTAAGACTGAGAAAAGGGATCTTTTGTCTGTTTTTTATATCAATACTATCTCAAGTATCTAGAACAGTGCCCAGTACTTATTAGTTACGTATTAGTTTTGTTCAGTGAATAAATGAATAGGCAGCTCTCAGAAGAAGAAAGCTGAATGACCAGTAAACATTTGAAAAGATCTGCAACCTCACTAGCAATTAGGTGAATGAAACAACAGTGAAATACCATTTAACATCTTGCAGAGGGCCAAAATTTTTAACATCTGACAATATCATGGGGAAATATTAACTCTTATGCAATGCTGGTAGGGCTTTAAATTGGCATGCCAATTTGGAGAGCAATGTGGCAAAGCTTCGGACTTAGCAGTGCGCTCTTGGGGAGGGAGGGGAATACAATTAAAAAGGAACGCAGGGAACTTCGACTGTTATCGTAATCTATATTTCTTTAGAAAAATGAATGAAGTATGTCTGTATAAATATGATGACATGGAAATACCTTCAAAACATTATCAAATGAAAAATGAATATTTCAACAATACCGAGGGTGCCAAAAAAATGTATACACATTTTATGAGACTTTAACACTTTGGTCAACATTGCTCAAGCAGTAGTTTGCCATAATCAGAGGTGTCTGGACGCTGATGGTAACCACTTTGAGTACCTCTTGTGGTTGCAGAAGTCAAATGTGACTTGCATTCATCTTTTGTTATCACTATATATATTGAGTATTACAATTTTATTTTTTTTCTTTCTTAAAATATATATACATATTTTTGGCACCCTCTATATACATTTATAACTTATTTTGTTTATATGTGACTATCAAATATCTAGACATAGAACAGCTAATATAGAATAATGTATTGTTATAATAAAGTATTATAGTTTTGAGGTGTTATAACAAAAATATATAACGTTATAACAAAATATAATTTATTAGAATAATTAAAATAGCATAAAAGTTAAAAATAACTTGCTAAAACTATTCCCAAATGTCTCTCATGTATTCATTACTTCTGTGATTAAATTAAAAAATAGGTTATTTTCAAAAGTGATAAACAGAAAATAACCTTTATATTTTTTCCCTTTTTATATATAATCAATTTAATGCTGTGGGCTTGTAGCTATTTTCCTCCTGGATGTTATAAATCTATATTTCAGTAGTGAAAGGATAAATCATTTACCTCAGCAGAAAATTTTCAGTAATGGTAATTTATTATTCAAAGGAAGGAACTAGAACATAAAGCAATTTGTCAAACTTAAGATGAATTTCCTAGTATCATGCACTTTCTACGGGTAACAAAGTTTAAAAAAAAAAAAAGAAGAAAGAGAGCAGAAAAAGCAGCATTCATTAATGAACATCAACTTTAATGTGGTCATTGATTTTGTTTTCTTCTAATATGTTCTCAGATTGGTGCTCTCCTCTGTCTCAGATTATTTTGCTGCCATGTTTACTAATGATGTCAGGGAAGCAAGACAAGAAGAAATAAAAATGGAAGGTGTAGAACCGAATTCACTATGGTCCCTGATTCAGTATGCATATACAGGTATAAACCTGAAAATATGAAATTAAAACCTCTTAGGTTTATGTTGTATCATTAGAGTTCACGTTTCTGCATTTAACAACGCCTGCCATAGCTAACAGTTAATTCTGCTATTATAATCACCACCCCTAGTGATACCTGTATAGGTTAAAATCTCTATATTAGAAACTTTAAAATGGTTATTGTATTTAAGCTTTTGAATGATATTTTTAAATGTTAATATAATTGGATCAATTAAATAATGTTTTTAAATTATTGCATTTAAAATTTGAGTTATATGTAATAGATATGTTACTAATTAAATTCTCCTTTAAAATTTCTAAAAATAAGCTATTAGATTTTTATCTTAGCAGAAGTCACAAAGAGATAATACAATAATTTTTTTTCATAACTAGTACTTTTTGTTTCATTTTGGAATGTCTTAAATCATCTAGGTCTGGAATACAAGTAATGAGCTCTTGCTTAGAATTATTACTGATAACACCAATTAGTTTATAAACTGAGGTTAATATAGATTCATAGTTAACAGAATTTCTTTTTATTATTAAGGCCGCCTGGAATTAAAGGAAGACAATATTGAGTGCCTGTTATCTACAGCTTGCCTTCTTCAGCTTTCACAGGTTGTGGAAGCATGCTGTAAGTTTTTAATGAAACAGCTTCATCCATCCAACTGTCTTGGAATCCGTTCTTTTGCTGATGCCCAAGGTTGTACAGATTTGCATAAAGTGGCTCACAATTACACCATGGTAGGTATTTTTTGAAAAGCATGAAGGCATATGCTCTTTCTCTTACACCTGTTATTGCACAATTATCTACATGTTGCTGTTTTTTCATGGTTCTGCCACATGCCTTGAGGCTCAGATTCACTATCTAGTGTGTCATATTTTCACTAAGTTATGAGGGAAAAACGCTAAGTCATATTTCTCCTGGATATATGAGTCCAGCCATAAGTTATCATAGTCACAAAGAAGCAGAGCAGTGGCCTAAGATTGGTCCATTCAGTATTTTCAGATCTGCATTTTCAAGAGGATTTCCCCCAAACATCTTTCTTTGTCACACATGGATGAATTTCAAAATTGTCCACATATTCACTGATGGAAGTTGGCGATAGTGATTGTAGTATATTGGTTCAGTGCTAGTACAGAAGATAGGAGGATGAAGGGGAGGTTTTTTATTAAGGATAAACCTCATTGTATGTAAGAAGTGTTTTCAGCTCTGTAGAAAGATGTTATTAGTTGTAGCAAATTATGTGCTCAACAGAAATCAGAGAAGGGACTCTGATTCAGAAGCCTGGAGGATAATGGATACAGATTGATATAGGACAGCAAGAAAATAAGGGCATGTTGGGCATATTGTTAGGACCTACCTCTGTGGTCTTAATCATAGAGGGATTTGGGAGAGGGAAGGTGTGTGGATTTTTAAGGAATGACCATCTTTCCACACTTGGGTCTTCCCACCTGGGCAATGATTGAAGGAAGGCTGTTGCTTTAAATGCTTCATTTAGGGCAATACAGCTTCTTGGGGAAGAAAGAACGCGAATAGTCACATACACATATCCAGTTATCCATATTACTAATTTTATCAACCTTTAGGGGATATTTTTTTGTCTACTCTCTCCCCCACCCCCTACCCTTCTGTATCTGTGAAGGATTGACAAGTAGTTTAGGAATCTTTCACTAGAGAAATAGAAATCTGGAAAAATTATAAGAAAAGATATTTACACCTATTGGGAAGATTAATTCTATATATTTCATAAACTTAATGTGAGGATTAAATGAGTTAATAGAAGTTTAGCACTTAAAACAGTGATGGACACGTAGTATAACCAGACAATAAATGACATCATCATCATCACCATCACTGTATAGATTGACTCTTCAACATGGTAGGGGTTTATGTGTGTGAACAAAAGCACTCATACAAAAGCACAACCTTTATGATTCGTTTTTCTCTCTGTGCTGTAATTACTTTTCAGAAATGTTCCTTATCATTGTTAAAGTGCCTCAGGTGAAAAAAATAGAGATTGTGTAACAGAACAATGCTGTGCAGACCTAGCATGGTATTGGTTAACATCTTTTAAATTAAGTCCTTTGAAAGTCTTCCCCCCTCCATCTTTATCCTTCCTTGTAGAGTTCTCATTTTAACCTTTCAGCTCAAGTTCAAATACTTTTTGAATAACGTGAATATGAATAAAATAAAGCTGCATTTTTTTTTAACCTTTATAGTCAGTTCATAATTAAAGTAATATTTCTTTCCTAGGAAGGAGTTTTGTTCACATGAAAACATTTGGATGCACTTAGGTCACTCCTGTTGTTTACGGTTGAGGCACAATTGCTGCTTTTTTAAAGGCTTACACATAAATTAAATTTAAATTAGCTCGATGTTTTTAAAGCTCTTTTCATAGCCAATTAGTTGTGTTTTTTTTTCCTCAAGCCATTATTTGACATTATTCAATTGCAACAGAGACATGAAATTGAATTCTAATAACAGTAAGTAACTTAGAGGCACATTGTTTGATTTGAATTGTTGCCATGGGAACTGAATAAAAATGTATAACAAAATTCAATCTTCAATTTAAATAAATCCCTCAGTAATTTCATTTGCTTAAAAACTATTCCAGAGGGGCAAGGGGCATAATGCTAGCATGTGTTTGGTAGCACGATAGCTGTTTGTATCATAAAATGGACTTAAAATATGAAGTAAGCATAATGCCACACAGTGAATTCTATTGTCACTATCTATAAACGATGCATGTACTTGGGGTGTTCACTGATCCTGCATGAATACAAGTAGGAAAGGATGAGGAGTTCCTTCTCGTAATCCTAAAATCAGGAAGCTTTTGTTCTTGTTCTGACTGCCACTGAACTTGACCTGGAGCAAGTCATTTAACCTCTACAAAAAAGTCTAAGACTGGTTCCATCATTACAAATATTTAATGTCATTGTGGATTTATAAAATAAATATAATAATTTCATTTAAAAATTTAAAGTTTTGTTTCTCAATCTAGAAAACCTGCAAAAACATTGAATTATGCCAAAATACCAGCTTCAAAACCAAATACTTTTGAAAAGCACTTTGTGTTAAACATTCACTTCAGTGGTATTTCCATAAGTTGTTGAAAAGGTTGATTTTCATTAAATACGAATTATGCTAGAATGAAATGGGCATTGTTCTGAAATAGATATATCAACAAATAATCAATTGAATATTTATATAATAGTCCTTTTCTCACTGATGGAGTGCAATTAATACCATGTGAAATTATGGCAATAGTTACGTCAGTGTCATGGAAATGTTAACTGTATCATACACTATACCTTTGAGAGATTAGAAATGTATATTACTTCAATTTCTTCAGAATCTCATCTAACATTTTAAAATAAACGTCTTTCCATAGATCTATGTAATGTTTGTCCTTGAAATTTTTAATGCCTGGTTAATAGTCCATTGAGTTATAATCCCCATAGCTGGACATTTAAGCTATTTCCCATTTTTTACTGTTATAAATAATAATACAGAGAAGCATCATTAGAGAAGCATCAGCTTTTTTTTCCTCTTGTGAATTATTTAGTAAGGATTAAACTACTAGTGGGATAACTGGTTTGAGAGCTTCAACATTTTTATAGCTCTTGCTGTGTGTTACCAAATCATTTTATAATGTCAATGTACAGTGGAGTAGAACAGTTTGCTTGAAGCCATTCCAGCATTGAGGTTTTATTAAAATATATTTCTGAAAATGATAATCAGTCATTTAAAATAGATTCATTTTGGCATCTTTAACAAAACATGATGAATTGAAGCAATTGAATTTAGTTAATAATTCATGTATGGTTTTCCTCTTAAGAATTTCTACAGAAAGGAATGTCAACCCAAGATATATTTTCGATCAGTACCTAACTTGGGTTACTGCAGGCTATTTGGAAAATATAATTCTCATTTTAATATAGAAGATAGTTATTGATAATCCTTATTTCTAGCTCTAATTTAAACAGCTTTAGCTATGTCACTAAAACTCTATATGCTGAGACAGCCATAGCACATTAGGAAGCATAAGAAAACCATTAAGGGACAATACAGTATGTCTAGCATTTGCATTTATATTTTAACTATATAAACAATCCATGCATTAAGATTTGTAATCTTGTATACCAAAAATAAGTTTCCCTTCTCTTCAGGTTGTTTAGCATAATACCTTAGTAAAGGTCATTATCTCACACCTAAGGGTCTCTCTATTTCCCATTTCAAATTATAAAGGGCCTGATTCTAGTATGTGGCCAGGACTGAGACATCTTCAGTCTCAGGTCCTAGAGACCCAGTGCATTCTAGGTCAACACTTTTACTTTGGCTGTTTTTCCACTGAGACCCAAAGAACTTTGTACATAAATCAGATTAGAGGAGATTAAAATTTTCAAAGCAGAACTAAAATCCAGGATGGTCTTATAAATAACATGAAAACACCTTTAAAGGCCAGTTTGGTTTTAGGATCTCCCTGAGGACATATACTCTTCCAGAGCAGAGTCTGAGAAGACTTCCGTGGACCAGCGTGGTCCCGGGAAATCTAGCCAGGCTGGAGGCCATTTCTGGGTTAGAGAATAGCTTCACAGCTCACCAAGGTATTTGGGCCTGCTGTTGGCCAAATTCCCCAGCAACCACAAATCTAAACTCCCTTTCGATGTTAGAGTAATCATACATCTCAATGTCTAATTCATTTTTTCTGTCTTCCTTTGAAAGACTTGCCAAAAGCAATACCTAAAAGTTGCAGGTCCATTTTAAAAATTAATAAATGATACAACACTTTAATTCTATTTACATAGAAATTAAAAGTTTAACAACATAATTGCAGTTTAAATGTGATTTTCTACTGTTTCTTTCCTAACAAGCAGTAATATATTATAAGGAAGATCTAAAGTGTAAGCTGTGTTTTGGCATCTAACTAAAAAAATTTTAATGTCTTTTAAATAAACTGTGATGGACAAAAGGAACAATATTGTTTATATGATATTTTTCTCTCTAGGAACATTTCATGGAAGTCATTCGAAACCAGGAATTTGTATTATTACCAGCCAGTGAAATTGCCAAGCTCTTGGCCAGCGATGACATGAACATTCCTAACGAGGAGACAATACTGAATGCGCTTCTTACTTGGGTCCGTCATGATTTGGAACAGAGACGGAAAGATCTCAGTAAACTTTTGGCTTATATTAGGCTACCTCTTCTTGCACCACAGGTAAACTGTTTTGTTTATTTCTTTTTTAAACCAGTCAAATTTAGCAGTGGGGGTTGTATACCAACTTTAGTGACACTAACGTTAATAAGTTCTGATAACCCACTACCATCGGACCAACCAAGTAAACTATTTTTGATTATTTAAAATTACTATCATAATTTCAACAACAATTAAATATTCACTTTATGCTAATTACATTAATAAACACTTGTGTTTAGGTTTTTCTCTTTGAATATTCAATCGAATGAATTTATTTTACATATATTCCTATGAAATGTTTAAGGTGAAAAGATAGTGAGCTAAAAAAAATTCTTATGTTTTCAACCAGGAAGGTCTGGCTACCTAAATTGCATTAATTAAGTAACATTGTTGCTTTGGGGTTAGTAATTTTATTTGACTCAGCTACAAACCTATCTAGCAATTGAAGAATTAGTACAGCTGCTAATACAAGGAACGCTGAATTCCAGGAACCAGAAAATTTAGATTAGTTCATTGGCCACACATTTATTAAGTATCCACTATGTGCTGGATTCTGGTGATATGTAAATTAAAGAGACATGATAATAGTTCCAGCTCCGACATTTTAAAACTCTGTGACTTGGTATATTCGCACACCTCAGTTTATTCATATGTCAAGTAGAGATAAACATCCGCTCTGACCATCTCACATGATTATTATGAAGATCAGAAAAGTGCTCTATGAAATAAAATGTGCTATAAAAAATAATGGTATTCATTATTTTAGATTTGAGAGATATCTAGCTGGTGTTTGCAAGGCAATCAGTCATAAGATATTTAGATGCAGTTTCCCCTTTTTACAATTTTGACAGGAATATACAAAAATATCTTCTGCATAACTTGCTGCTTATTTTCAGGCCTTGAATAGAGAAAGAGGCCTTGAAAGTAGAGGAGGAATGTGCTGGTACTGCTCAAGGTCAGACTTTTTGTTGTTTAAAGTGCCATAAATTTTATCTTATTTGTATTTATCTTGAGGATTACGTATTATTCCTGGCTGTTGTGAACAAAAGTTACTGTTTGCTCTCTGCCTTACAGAGGCAAAAAATCAGTGCTGATGCTTTGTAAACAAGACCTCCCTCCTCAGAGGTATAGTGTAGTATGACTTCATAGGAGCGAGACTACATGAATTGATGACAATCCAGGAAAAATAACATCATAAAACATTTCACTTGAAATCAGATTTAAAGAAGACAGTTATATTTTTATTGATACCCAGCAGATTTTTTTCTTATCCTTTTCTAGATGAAAGAATATAAAATCTGAAAAATCCTAGTAGACTTTAAAAAGACTCTGTGCAATTAAGTAACCTGACAATTTACTTCAGTTCTGCAGTTTCAAATATTTGTGTACTATATTTGCATGACTCTCAGAGACCTTTACATTTTCTCTTATCCAAGATACTGCTGATAATAATAGCCATAAAGTCTTAGATTTGAAAGGCACTCTGGAGATCATTTAGTCTAACACCTGTTGTACAAACGAAGTAACAGACCAAAAAAGTAAAACCACATGTTCAAAGTCACAAAGTGATTGCATATAGTCCTATCCTTCTGCACTGTGGTTTTATTCAGCCTTTTCTACTTTGGCTAACATAATAGTGCTAATAAGAGACTAAGGTAGGACTTGAACTCAATTAAAGTTCTGTGCTTTTTCCACTGAATCGTTCTGCCTCTTGAATGTACTATGTATAAAATTGCTGGGTGTCGGAGGGATATCAGGTAGGGAAAGAAACAGATTAAAAAATAATCAATATTTACAATATGAGATTAAGGCTGTGGTAGATATAGAAACATGACATTATGAAAATAATTGGAGTGGCCCATTCAGACTTATGGTGGTGAAGCTAGGAGAACTTCCTGAAGTGTTACTTAGTCTGTATCATGAGTTAGCTATTAAACTACTTAAAAAGATGGCAAGTTCAAGAAGGAGGAAGTCTTATCATCAGATGCTAAAATGAAGATGAATTGAATAAAGACGAAAAATCCACTGGATTAGCCCAGTGATTCTCAAAGTGTGTTCCCCATGTGGGAAATTATTTAAAAAGCGGAGAATTAGGCCCCACTCTACTGAATCTGAAACTCTGGAGGTGGGGCCTAGCACATTGTGCTTTAATAAGCTCTCAGGTGGATCTGATGTGGACTTGAGTTTGAGAACCACCGTCTTAGCCTGATGTATAGTGGTCATGGAAACCATGTTGCCCTGTGTAGAGTCGTCCTTTTGTGTCTGTGGAGGATTGTGTTTGTGGTCATTTTACCTTTCAAAGCATTTTTGATCAAACTTTACTATTTGATCAAGTTTTAAACCATGCAAATAAAAATGCTAGCACATATATACATTATTTAAAAGATTTGACACCTAAATTCTTTTTTTTTTTTAACTTAAAAAAATTTTTATTGGGAAACAGTGTGTTTTTTCAGGACCTATCAGCTCCAAGCCAAATAGTTGTTTCAATCTAGTTGTGGAGGGCACAACTCAGTGGCCCATGTGGGGATTGAACCAGCAACCTTGGTGTTATGAGCACTGTGCTCTAACCAACTGAGCTAACCAGCCACCCCGGCACCTAAATTCTTTTTTTT